GTCACAATATATCCGCAATGGCCTAGAAATCGAATCCACAATCCCAAGCCCAGAAATGAAACTTTTCATCCATACACCATGCGAAGTAGCCTCAAAACAAGAAACGAACTCAGCCTCCATAATGGAAGTTGCAGTCAAGGTCTGCTTTGTGCTTCTCCAAGATACAGCTCCACCAGCAAACATAAATATGTATCCTGATGTTGATTTTCGTGAATCAACACAGCCAGCGAAGTCCGAATCAGAGTAGCCAATCACTTCCAAACTATTAATCCGTCTGTACATAAGCATGTAATCCTTGGTCCCTTGAAGGTACCTCAACACTTTTTTACAGCTTTCCAGTGGTCCATACCTGGATTACTCTAATATCTACCTAACATCTCCACAGCAAATGTAATGTCAGGTCTTGTACAGACCTGAGCATACATCAAGCTTCCAACACCTGAAGCATAAGGAATGTTCTTCATTTGTTCCCTTTCAAGTTCATTTTTAGGGCATTGATTCAAATTGAATCTTTCACCCTTCACAATGGGAGCTACACTTGGTGAACAATCTTTCATCCGAAATCTCTCTAAAACTTTGTTGATATAGGTCTCTTGAGACAAACCCAAAATTCCTCGAAATCTGTCTCTATGTATCTTAATGCCAATGACATAAGATGCATCACCCATATCCTTCATATCAAAGTTTTCAGAGAGGAATTGTTTCACCTCATATAGCAAACCCCTATCATTGGTTGCAAGTAAAATATCATCCACATACAAGATAAGGAAACAAATCTTACTCCCACTAACCTTCTGGTATATATTGTTGGGAATAGTGTCCTAGAAGCATAAGATGTAATAGGATATTTATTATTTAATTAATAAAAGAGTTTATTCATCATTTTATGTGCATATATTTATGAATATTTTCAATTGCTCACCATTACTAGAGGAAAATCTTTCTGGTTGTTTCATGTAAACCTCTTCCTCTAATTCTCCATTGAGAAAAGCCGTTTTCACATCCATTTGATGCAACTCCAAGTCAAAATGTGCAATTAATGCCATAATGATACGAAGTGAATCTTTCTTAGATACAGGAGAGAACGTCTCCTTGTAATCGATTCCTTCCTTTTGAGTGAATCCTTTGGCAACAAGTTTTACTTTATATCTTTCAATGTTGCCTAATGAGTCTTTCTTTGTTTTAAAAACCCATTTACATCCTATGGCTTTTGCACCATTAGGCAACTCAACAAGATCCCAGACCCTGTTAGATGTCATAGAATTCATCTCATCTTTCATGGCATCATACCATAAATTTGATTCTTTACAACTCATAGCTTGTGAAAACGTTTCAGGATCATTTTTGGCTCTAATGTTGTAGTCCGATTTTTGCAGATACACAATGTAATCACTAGGTATTGCTGATTTCCTTGTTCTAGTAGATCTCCTTAATGTCGTTTCAACATTACCCTAGGGATCATGTTGCTAGACCGGTTGTTCAACAACTTATGGCAGTTCTTGAACATCTTGATCTACTGGATTATCATCAACAACTTGTGGAACTTCATCGATTAGTTGTCTAATACCCGTTTGCACTTGAGGGGCATTGTGAATGATAATCAATCTGTCACTTAAAGTGGAAGGTTGAGCATCAATATGATTCTTCTCAGAAAGAATTTCCTGGAATCGGTTGCTCCCACTAATCAAGGCATTCTCAAGAAACTTTGCATTTCTTCACTCCACAATCCTAGTACTGTGAGATGGACAATAGAACCTATACCCTTTAGACCTTTCAGCATATCCAATGAAATACCCACTAATGGTCCTTGGGTCTAGTTTCTTTTCTTGTGGGTTGTAAACTCTTACTTCAGATGGGCATCCCCAAATGCGTATATGTTGCAAACTCGGTTTCCAACCTTTTCATAATTCAAATGGTGTCTTTGGGACAGCCTTGGTCGAAACTCGGTTTAATATATACATTGACATTTTAAGAGCTTCAGTCCACAAGGATTCAGGAAGCTTGGAGTTATTACGCATACTCCTCACCATGACCATTAAAGTTCGATTTCTTCTTTCTACTACACCATTCTGGTCCGAAGAACCATGTATGGTGTATTGGGCAACTATCTCATGCTCTTGAAGAAACTTCACAAATGGTCCTGGTGCTTGTCCATCCTTGGTGTATCTACCATAATACTATCCGCCTCTATTAGTTCTCACGATCCTGATTTGCTTTCCACATTGTTTCTCTACTTAAGCCTTAAAAACCTTAAAGGCATTTAATGCTTCGTTCTTATTATGAAGCAAGTAGAGATACATGTATCGCGAGTAATCATCAATGAAAGAGACGATGTATTTTAGACCATACGTGTCCATGTCTGGACTACAAATATCTGAATGTATGATTTCTAATATGTCCAAGCTCTTCTTGGCACCTTTCTTCTTCTTGTTGGTCTGCTTTCCCTTTATGCAGTCCACACAAGTGTCAAAATCAGTAAAATCTAAAGTACTAAGTACTCCATCATTTACTAATCTCTTAATCCTTTCTACAGAGATATGTCCTAATCTTCGGTGCCACAACATAGAGGAATCTTCATTCATAACACATCGTTTCATACCAGTGTGAACATGCATAGCATCATAAGTAGTATTATTTTGCAAATTAATAGAGAAAAGACCATTAGACAATGTACCAATTCCAATAAGATCAGATTTATAAAATAAACTTAAAGATGTTTCTGAAAAATTAAAAGAATAACCCAAAGGTACAAGTCTGGAAACTGAAATTAAATTCCTAGAAAAACTTGGAACATAAAATGTCTTTTTTAAATTCAAAATAAAACCACTACTTAAAACTAAACAGCATGTTTCGACAGCTTCCACATGTGAGTGCATTTTGTTGCCCCAATAAATGCCCTTCTCACTTTCCACTGGTTTCCTTAGGTTTCACATGCCCTGCAAGGTATTCGAAACATGGATTGTAGAACTAGAATCAATCCACCATGTGTTATGACTAACGTCAACCATTTAGATTCATAACAAACAAAAGAGATTGAATTACCTTTCTCTTCAAGACATTTCTGAAATTTGGTGCAATCTTTCTTCATGTGTCCCTTCTTCTTGCAGAAGAAGCATTTGGACTCTTTCTTGATTCCACCTTGGGGCGGTATTTTACCTTTCCCCTTCTTCTTGGCTTGAGTCTCGTACTTTCCTTGTGTCGCCACCATCAACGAACTCTCTCCCAATTCCATAATCAATCTCCCCTCTTCTTGAACACACATGGTCAAAAGCTCATTAATTGACCACTTGTCCTTATGTGTGTTGTAAGATATCTTAAAGGGTCCATACTGATGTGGAAGAGTGTTCAAAATGTAGTGCACCAGAAAGGATTTAGACATCTCAACCTCTAGATTCTTTAATTGAGCCACGATATCCCTCATCTGCATGATGTGCTCACGCACACCACTGAGACTGGTGAGCCTTAAGGAGGAGAACTTCATGATTAGAGTGCTAGCTAAAGCTTTATCTGAATAGACAAACTGTTCATCAACAGCCTTCAGTAATTCCTTGACTTTGTCATGCTGATCGACCGAACCACGGATGCCAGCAGAGATCTTTGTTTTTATAAACATGACACAAAGGTGATTAGATCGCTCCCATTTCTCATACCGGTCAACATCATCAGGTTGACTGGTCGCAGTAATGGCAAGTGGTTCAGCCTTCTGAATAGCATAGTCAATATCCATCCACCCCAAATGAAGAAGAATCCTCTCCTTCCATACCTTATAGTTGTCACCCTTTAGTTCGGGAATGTCACATTTTATATCAGAGAAATTTACAGGTTGCATGACTGCAAAAATTAAATATACATGCATTTTATCCAAATTGAGACTAATATGTTAAATCATGTTTTACCAATGTAAATCATGCCTCAAAAATCATGAATCTAGTGACATAAAACTTGCATGTGGGCTAAAGTCCTATTCAATTAGATCCACTCATAATCCTTATGATAAAACTATCAAATTATGTTCCTTTTCTTAATTCATGTGGGTAAATTAAGAAATATAATTTGATATTTTATCCTAATTAGTCATATAAATATAACAAAAATTCCTGTGGGATAAAATTCGTTATATGCAAAATGACTAACCACAATTAATGTCATAATGTGATCCTAAAGCACTTTACATAATTAAAGATGTTGCGGCTACTCCTTAATTAATTAAAATTATATGAATCACTCGACATTTGATTTTATGCACAAAAATAATTCATATAAAAATCTTCATGTATAACAAATCCAAATAATACAAATAAATTATATAAATAAATAACAAGCATAAAATCATAACTAATCAGATAATTAATTTAAATGTACTAAAATTATTCAACTTAATTTTGTATGCATAATAAACAATAAATTATACACAAAATCAACAAAATAAATAATTTAAGTACACGAAAATATATATATTAAAAATTAAAACTATTAAAAGTTTTAATAAAACATATAAATTCTGTAAACAGAACCCAAAAATCCGTTTTACAAAATTTTTTTTTTTTTGAAAAACTAAAGCCCAAAAACGACATGTCTTTGCCCAAAACGACATCCCGTTATTCTGCACACTGAATGAAAACGACGTGTCGTTTCAAGCACCTGGGATGTCTTCTTCAACCTCCAGCCAGGTCGTTTTCGACCCGGTTGCGATCCGACTTTTGACATAGTTCGTTATATATGTTTAATACACCAAAATTGACGTTTCAAATTGCAGAAATGTTAGAAATCTAATTTCTTAATGATTTCTAATCTAATTTTACATCAAAAAACAAAGAAAATCATTATTTCAATTTTCAAATTGAAAAAGTTTCTGAAAAGTTTTTTTTTTTTTTTTGACGTAAACAGAGTAACATCAAGGCAGAGGTAATTAAGGCTCTGATACCAAATGTAAACTAAATCTTAAACAATCTAAACATGCTTCTAACAAACTCAATAGCATTCAGATCAATATTGCGGAATAGAATCGAAATATCGAATTGAAAGTATACCTCCGGCCATTGACAACTTCTTACGCTCGACAGATATTTAACTCGGATTTGGTACTTCTAATCCTCACTCAATCTCAAATAGATGGTGTATTTTACTGAATAAGATTGAAAGGCTTAGGGACCAACTGGAAGGGAATGCACTCATATGCATATGTACTCTGTCCATCACAGAGTATTCTTAATCGTGCATAAAAAGTGGGCAGCGGTTATCAATGGTTTTCGAACATTATTCGCATCCCTATAATGGTGGAAGATATGGGCCACTATAACGGTAAGTTTGTTTCCTAATATTACGGAAAAAATCTTACACAAAATGCTATTGAAATGCATAACTTGAAACCTGACTCTATCAGTTCAGAAATCTGAAGCATCTTCTCATTTCTCTCAGTAGTCCATTGAAACCCAAAAGATCAAATGAATGACGAACTCATTTTCATTTCATGTCTGCAGGATACTCTAATATGCAAAAATGACCATTTCTGTTAAATTACAGTTTGATGAAACAATCCCAAAGAGTTCTGCATTTGTCAGCCCTGGAACCATGGAAGCCACGGAAAAAAAGAACAATACAATGTATTCTGACACTGCTACTTATGCTCGTGACGTGCCGCCATGATCTCTCTCAACATGTTCCACAAGGGCAACTGGATCACGAAATCCCCTACTGCACTTGGGGCAGACATCGACTGTCACTTTCTTCCCCCCAGGCCTATTGCCATCCCTTTCGTGAACTTTCTCCACATGCTCTACCAGAGTTGTAACAGAAGAAAACTTTGCGCCACATTGTGGGCACTCCTCAATTTCTCCATTTCTCCCGCTGTTGCCACTGCTCTGCCCCACACTGTCCTTCGCAATCTGCCACTTTTGGCTAATCTCATTGCTCAACTTCATCATGCTCGCTTCAGCAGAGGCTCGCACACTTGATGCCGCATTAAGAAAGTTCGTAGCCCACTTTGGTGAAGATGTAGCAGGAGCTTTATTAGGCCTTTGCTCCTCTTTCCTACTCCTATTTAAAAGACCCATGAACGGGAAGTTCGATTCAGGTTTCTTTGGTCCAGGACATTTGTGGTCAGGTCCAAAACGATGCTTCAAACAATGGTCTACCAAGCAGTCCCTGCACTTTAGTGTATTTGAAAATGTTAGGATCTCCTTACAGCCGGGGACAGGGCATTTTTTCTTCTTTGTGACTTTCTCATAATTTGACGGATCACAGTCTGTGTTAACATGTGTATCCCAAGTAATATTTGGATCTTCATCAGGAATTAGACGAACACCTTTGGCACAGAGTGGACAAATGACAACAGTGACATCTTGTCTGTCGGCTTTTGGACAATTGTGCTTAATGTAGCTTCGATGCTCCAGACAAAATACCTGCCCAATGTTTTGACATAGTCAGCAGAATAAAACACACATGTGAAGGCAGATTAGGAACAAAGGAAAATCCCGAAATGAAAAGGCAGCATAAGAGCTTAAATCTTATTGCAAAATAGACAAATAATTGTATTAGCAAGAAGAAGGGACATGCATCTAGTACTCCAGTTGTCCAATTCAACAATAGTGCATCTCCCAAATCCCAATCAAGGAAATTTTTTTCAGGAGGAAGCAATTTCATGAACCAATAGGACATAAAGTTGGGATGAGATTTATGGTTCCTAAATAATAAAGCATATACTAAATATTAACAAATTCCTTTAAACAAAATCAACCCTTCAAAAAGGTTAACTAAATCATTACCACCTTAATCATTTAATGCTTGAGGCCCATTTTTCTTTTTGAAAGACCCAATGATTCCTCCAAAATACCATTTCAAACAATTTTGATAAAAAGCAGTTACCACATGTATTTGCACGATCAGATGCATATACAGCGCTAAAGTGACCTACTATTAAACTGCCTAAGATAAGGTTTTGCAATGCTCCAATAGACACGAAAGAGATCAAAAGGACTTCTATAACACAAACTAATCAAAATATAGGTCGTGCAATTCTGAAGTTTGGTAAAGAATTCCCATCCCAGTTCACAGTTTTTGCCCCCTGCTGAAGCAAAAGAATGGAAAGAGCCAATTTAACAGAAGACTTACAATGGAGGTTCTATCCGTAGCTTCATATTAACAGCAATTAATTAAAATACAGCCAAGCCTAAGGCTAGCATGAGTACTAGCTGAAACCACCAGATTTTAACATTTTAAAGCCAAAAATCAGAGTGTGAAGATCACAATTATTAAATGACTGTTAAAGCCTATTTCCAGTTACTTCTGAAAACTTAAATTCCAGTGCAAATGCCCTATTCTAGAGATACATTTTAGACCCACTCTCTCAATTAATCAAGATAACAACACCTAAATCCCATTTGCAATTACTTTACACAGTCTATAAAACCATACTGGCCTTTTTTTTAATCCTGTAATCAAATCTTTGACAAACAAAAAATGACCCCAAAAAAAAATCCACAATGTGAAGATTTATGGAATATTGAGTCAAAGTTATTAACCAAAAAGTATATGCGGTCCGAAAGTGAATGAACATAACTTTGTTTAGCATTCTTTTCCTTCTAATAAAGTTACAAATAATTCTTGATTTTTTCTTTCTTTACATTACCTTCCTATCAAACACAGACACGTAGAATCTGTCTAAAAAACCAAGATCAAAACTTCTTGAGAGAAAAAGAAAATGAAGCAATCAAAAATCAAAACCCATTGTGCGAATTCAACAAACACACATTGAATAAAACCGAGATTATGGAAATTTATTAGATTATTCACCAATTCATATGTATATTAATCATATATATATATATATATATAGAGAGAGAGAGAGAGAGAGAGAGATTAGCGGACCAGGTTACAGCGATCGCAGGTGAAGGGCAAGAAATCAATCTGCTTGCAATCATCGACGGCGCAATGCTTTCCGAGATTCGGGAATTCGGGAGTTCCCATTCAAATCCGAAGGCAACAATTACAGATAAGGATTGAAAATTGGAGAAATTCAGATTGAAGCTCAAGCTGAGGAATTAGAGATACTAGGGATTGAATTGTCTGGAGCTCTAGATTTTGCAAAAGAGGGAAATAGTAAAAGAGAAGGAAAAGACCCGCGTAATCAGAAGACCAGAGGAAGAGTCGTTGAAAGTCCCGCAAATTCGTCCCTTCCCTTTTTTTGTTTTTTTATTTGTAGGCTTTTTCTATGCTTCCTCACCATGTTTATGGGAAAATTTTCTTCCATTACAGAAGAGTTAAAAAATTAAAGGGCTTGTTCTTTTGGAGTTTAATTTGAGTATAATTTTTGAGTTGAATTTGAGTTATAATTTGAGTTGAACTTATAACTTGAGTTTGTGTTTAGTTATGTATATTTGAGTTATGGTTTGAGATAATAATCTTTTTGAGTTTGTGTTTCAGTGAGTCAAAACTTAAATTTGTATTTATATAGTATTTTAATAAAAACTCAATGCTGATAAAAAATTTTAATAGGGTATATGGGTCGGGTTTTATTCGTCTTTTCGTTATCAACGCATAGAAAAAAAATCATCTCAATCAGAATTAAAACGAAAAAGTTATAGCATTTTTAAGAATAGAAAAAATATTGTTCATTAATTTGAGTTCGAGTTTCTGAACTCGAGTTTTAGTCCTAAACTCGAGTTTGAACTCGAGTTTAAACTTAAAAGAACATGAACTCGAATAAAGTTGTAACTCGAGCTACATTTTTTTGAGTTTTTCACTCAAAAGAACAAGCCCAAAGTAATTCGAGACTCGTTTAGGTCGCTGATTTAAATTTTTAATTTAAGTTGAAATGTGATTTTATATAAGAGTTTTTTATTGTAATAAAAAAATTAGATGTGACTGTTTGTGAGAGTTTTTTACTGTAGTAAAACCCGAATATATAAACTCGAATTGGTGAAATGAACGGAATCTAAATGATTGATATAATTATCTTATAATAAGTGGTAACAATTATCATTTTAAGAATTAGAAATTATTTTTAAGCATATAATAAATAAAATAATGTCATGTATTGTTCTAAATAAATGTTCATGCATGAAATGTGTCTATCAAAAAAAGAACATGACAGGTATAATTCTTTACAATAATATCATTCAGGTTTAAAACTATAGCCGGTTACGATAGAATGACTGATACTAACAGTAAAAATGACAATCATTTATTGATATATCTTTTAATATTTTTTATATAATTATTCATGACAGTTGTTTATTACTATATGTTTAAAAATGACTCCTGATTTTTAAAATAATAATTATTACGACTAAATATAAAAGAATTACGTTAGATTTTCAGTCAGTTATAATTAGCACATACGAGACTGGTCCCCCATTTTCGAATTGGGGAACTATAGACAACTTCTTGTTTGTATTATAAAAGAATTGGCCCTATTCGTTTCCCTAATTTAAATTATACAGTATTTTTTCTTATAAAATTTAAATTTAAAATTTTTAATACAGTATTTTTTGTAATATAAATTCACTTTTTAACTCAAATGAACGAAATAAACAGGTTATTTACCCCTTATTATTACGCAATTTGTAATTACTTCTAACCTTTTGAACTTCCAGCCAGTTTGCTATTTAATAAAATTGTTTATTATTAAATAGTGAATGCTTCCAAGTTGATGTATCAAATCAATGTTAAATTTTAACATTTGAGTGAGGAATATTATTTTCTATACCATATATGGCTAAATGCTATAATTTATGATAAATTTCAAATTTGAAGTATCAATTATTATTGGTTGATATTACGCAATTTTTAATTACTTCTAGCCTTTCAAAATTTCAGCCAATTTGCTATTTAATAAAAGTGTTTATTATTAAATAGTGAATGCTTCCCAATTGCTGTGTCAATATTAAATTTTAACTTTTAAGTTAGGAATATTATTTTCTATACCATATATGGCTAAATGTTATAATTTATGATTAATTTCAAGTTTCAATTATTATTGGTTGATATTAATGTTTTAACTTAATCATTATAACAATGTTCTTTTAAAATTAGGATAGGGAAATTAGTGTGGGTGGCCGATTTAAGCCACCCACTTTAACTAATGACCCAAGGTTTTCAAAATTAGGAGAATAACCTTTGTTTTTTTTTTTTTTTTTTTTTTTTTTTAAAAATATTTCAACGATTGGATCCTAGTTTTACCTTTCCTTCTCCACCGATATGAGAGAAGAGGAGGAAACGTCGATGAAGGCCTCAACGTGAAATTACGAATTATTGTAGTAATTAATAATTAAAATAAATTTTGACAGAAGGCATGCTTTCCTAGGTGAAACTACTGGTTTAGTTTCTTTTCTTTCTTTTTCGTCTTATAATTTTCTTGCTAATCTTGCTAATATAATCCATTGGTTTATATGGGGTAGGTTTAGAGCCTAGGGTATTTCGCTAATTTTTGAATTTTTAGATCTAAAATCTGCTCTTCATTTCTTTTCCTACAACATTTGCTATTAATTTTTGTTCTCCTATTGGAGGATATTGACCACGCCTCCTATCGTCGTTCCTTTTCTGGCCTGATTCATTTCCTCTAACCAGCAAGGCAGTCCCTTCTACGATGGGTGCCCGTGTTGCTGCAACAGTTCGTTGCTTTTCTTCCTGTGCTGCAATGGCATAAGCCCTTCCAATATTCGGCAACGGGTCAACACTCAGTATCTGTGACCGTACCGTGGAATACACTTCATCAAGGCCCATCAAGAAATCGAAGACCTTCTCTTCCTCGTGCATGGATTGCATCCGTTTTGCCGCACCACATTTGCATCCACATTTGCATGATGGAACCGGATGAAGGCTCTGTAGCTCGCCCCATATGGTTTTCAATTTTCCATAATAGGACGAAATAGAAGATCTTTCCTGTTGTAGCAATGCTATTCCACGTCTTAATTCATAGACTCTGGGTGCAATTCCTTGCGTGAATCTCTGTTCCAAGTCCTCCCATATTTCTCTTGCGGTTTCAACATGTGATGCACTGCCTTGAAGCTCCTTTGCAAGTGCATTTGTGAGCCATGAAAGAACCACTGCATTACATTGTATCCACGGCTGCAAATCAGGAGAATCAAAATCTGGTTTTTCAATCGTTCCATCCACAAAACCTGCCTTGTTTTTGGATTGGAGCGCATTCATAAAATTACACCTCCACGTGAAAAAATTGTCTCCATTCTCACTGAGGGGGTGTGTGACAAAAATCAGACCTGGGTGATCAGATGGGTGCAAATAATATGAAGAAACTTCAGATGCTTTGTAAGAAGGGACTACGTCAACAACGTTGCCAACAACATCAATAGCATTGTTTTGACTTGTACCATCATCTGCTATTTCCTCCATATTCTTGTTTCTCCCATCATTCTCTGCCATGTTGAAAAGAAAGTGCAGGTTTCGAAACTTGCTCTGATACCATGAAAAAGAGAAAAGCAAAAGTTCTGTATATTGATTCTCAAGCAATTACAATATATACATTACATTATACACACAATCGTAGGCAATAAATACAGCAAAATGAGACAATCAGTAATAATACAAAATCAGTCATATTCCTTAATTAGATATCCCTTTAATTGCTCTGTCCAATCCCTGTAAATGCTCAATCAAGGATTTATTCGGTCAATATCCTCCAATACTCCCCCTCAAGTTGGAGCATGAAGATTTGAAATGCCCAACTTGAACAACAATTCACCAAACCGATCACACCCAAGCGCTTTAGTAAATATGTCGGCTAGTTGATTCTGAGAAGAAATAGACCTGGGGACAATGGTGTGTGACTGAATATGCTGTCGAATGAAATGGTAGTCTATTTCGATATGTTTTGTACGTTCATGGAAAACCGGATTAGTTGAGATGTGAATGGCAGCTTGATTGTCACAAAACAAAGGAACTGGGGCAGCGTTCGGCACTCCAAAATCCTTTAAGAGCCTCAACAGCCAAATGATCTCTTTAGTGGTAGTAGCCATAGCACGATACTCAGCTTCAGCAGAAGAGCAAGAGACCACCGTTTGCTTCTTAGAGCGCCACGAAATAGGAGAAGAACCAAGGAAAATAATATAACCCGTAGTAGAGCGACGTGTCATAGGACAACTTGCCCAATCTGCATCGCAATATGCTTGTAATGACAATGATCCGTCAGAAGGGAGCAAGATTCCTTGACCTGGATTTCCCTTGAGATAGCGCAACACCCTGTGAGCAGCATCAAGGTGTGGTTGTCGCGGGGCGTGCATGAATTGACTAAGAATATGGACGACGTAACTGATGTCTGGACGAGTGATGGTAAGATAGAGTAGGTGGCCAACCAAACGACGATATTGTCCAGGATCAGTACATAATTCACCAGAGTCAAGTGAAAGTTTGTGTTGTTGTTCCATGGGAAAAGTGACTGGTTTGCATCCAGTGAGTCCACTCTCGGTCAAAATGTCAAGAACATATTTTTGTTGGCTCAACGCAATTTCTGTTGGAGAACGTGCCACTTTAATGCCAAGAAAATACTTGAGGTTGCCAAGATCCTTAATATGAAATTTCGCATCCAAATAATGTTTCAACTGAGAAATGCGAGCAGAATTAGTTCCTATAATAATAACATCATCGACATATATGAGAGCAGCAACAAAGGATCCCCCTGCATGAGAATAAATGAATAACGAGTGATCCGCGTCAGATTGTCAGAAGCCGATATCAAGAAGAGAAGTGGTGAACTTGTGATACCAATTCTGAGAGGCTTGGCGGAGGTCATATAGAGATTTTCATAATCGACAAACTCGCTGCTCCTTCTGTTTAGCAAATCCCTGTGGAATTTTCATGTAGACTTCTTCCTCCAAATCACCGTGTAACAAGGCATTATTCACATCTAGTTGATGAAGTTCCCAATGTTGAATTGAAGCGAGCGCCAACAAACACCGTACAGTGACTAATTTTGCAACTGGAGCAAAGGTCTCATGGAAATCTACACCCTCAATTTGAGTATAGCCTTTAGCAACGAGTCGCGCCTTATAACGTTCAATACTTCCATATGGTCGATACTTCACCTTGTATACCCATTTTGAATCAATAGCCCGTTTACCAGGAGGCAAGGGTTCCAAGGTCCAAGTGTGATTATTCTCCAAAGCAGAAACCCCATTCTCCATGGCTCGTCGCCA